TTCGTTGTTGTTGTTGTTGTTGTTGTTGTCGTTGTTGTTGTTGTTGTTGTTGTTTTGGTCGTTGTTGTTGTTGTTGTTGTTGTTGTTGTCGTTGTTGTTGTCGTTGTTGTTGTTGTTTTGGTCGTTGTTGTTGTTGTTGTTGTTGTTGTTGTTGCTTATTTCTTAACCTTTTACTCTGTACGTCTTACGGCACTTGCAACAGAAACAGGCCACACTATTATATGTACAAGAGAACCTGTTCTGGCGTTCATCTGTGTAAAATTTTCACCCGTACAATTTTTGGTTACGTCCCTTTTCACGGTTGCAGGATTTTTTATGCATTGTAAGGACACTGTGCGGGACAGCCATCTGTCCAAAGCGGCCATTTTTATCCTCGATAATGGGTGTGATTTACCAATATATTCACTTTCAGAGGAAAAAAACAAAAAACATTCCTTGCAGTCTTTTTTTCGGATTTAAAAAACCCCAAAAAGCTGTCTGTCAAGGTGGTCCTTAACGTATGTTGAAGTCTGTACAATTTAATTACTATACCTGCATGTTTTTTTACAATACTGTACAGCCTCCTAAGAAAATGTTCCCTCAGGGATCATAAAGTATTATCTATCTTATCTCATCTCATATCTTACCTTATCTTATCTTTTCTTTTCTTATCTTATCTCTATCTCTAGCTCGGCTTATCTTATCTTACTTTACCGTACCGTATCTTATCTTATCCTATCTTACCTTACCTTACCTTACCTTATCTTAGCTCCTATCATATCTTGTCTTATCTTATCTATCTTATCTTATCGTATCTTATCTTATCGTATCTTATCTTACCAAACGCTCCAACAAACACAGAGGTACTGACCCACAAGGACGGGAACAAGAGCGTCGAAGATTCCTTCCAACGTGTTGGCGATACCCAAGGCCAGAGGGGTACGATCTTATCTTATCGTATCTTAACTTATTTTACCTTATCTTATCTTAGTTCTTATCTTACCTTATCCTAACGTATCTTATCTTATACCAACTTATCCTATCTTACCTTATCCTAACTTATCTTATCTTAATGTATCTTATCTTAATGTATCTTATCTTTGCTCTTATCTTATCTTACCTTTCCTTATCTTGTCATAGTTTATCTTTCCAAACAAACACAGAGGTACTGAAGTACTGACCCACAAGGACGGGAACTAAGGCGTCAAAGATTCCCTCCGATGTGTTTGCGATACCCAAGGCCAGCGGGTACGATCTTATCTTATCTTACCGTATCTTATCTAATCTTTTGCTTACCTTACCTTATCTTATCTTATCATATTCTATCTTACCAAAAAAACACAGAGGTACTAAAGTACTGACCCACAAGGACGGGAACCAGGGCGTCAAAGACTCCCTCCGATGTGTTTGCGATACCCAAGGCCAGGGGGTAGGACTCGAGAGTCACAGTGGACGTGTCCAGTATACACTTGGCGTAGATCGTGGTGCAGCCACCCATAGCTGACCCCACCATCACGAGACCGATGACCAGCGTGTAGAACTCCGTCGCCATGGCAACGGTGATCAGGGCGACGCTGGCCATGACGCCACATCCGGTGAGGAGGAGGACGCTGTGCATGCGCGGAATGAGGTTGACCCCGCCCACGAACATCCGGCCCGCCACGCTGGACACGAAGGTGAGCATGATGAGGGTGATGGCGACTGACTCGTCCTGGGGAAGTGAAGGTGAGCATGATGAGGGTGATGGCGATTGACTCGTCCTGGGGAAGTGAAGGTGAGCATGATGAGGGTGATGGCGACTGACTCATCCTGGGGAAGTGAAGGTGAGCATGATGAGGGTGATGACGACTGACTCATCCTGGGGGAGGGAAGGAGGCAGGGGGAGTAGGGGGAGGGGGAGAGGAAGGCAGCATCTGAAAACAAGGATTTCATGGATTACTGGAACATGGGGTTTTAAAAAATGTAATACATACTCCTTTTGTGGAGTTTTCATAGTTCTAAACCATTGGGGGGGGG